GTGGGCGAAAACTAAAGGATTTGACGGCCAAAAGACTGGACCTCCACAGACTTGAGCCTTAATTCTTGCCACATTCATTTATGGCAGCAGGATTACTGAATAATACATCAACCAATACATCAAAACCCAGTGAGCCTCTGGGGAGAGCGCTCGGTAATCAAAAAGTAAGTTAAGGTTTTCATAATAGTTCCCTATAAATAACTGGGGACAAAAATGAGGACATGTAAAATTGATGAGGGATGATTCAAGCCCCAAGAGGAGCGCACGCAGATTAACACAGGAGCGGTGTGACGCAGGGGGCAGGGGGGCAGTTAAATGATTTGTGCCACTGGATAACTGAATACAGCCATTATTCTGAGGGAGATCGACATGTATAATGAATTTAAATGCCTGTTAGGACTACACTAAGGACTTTAATCTCATTGCATAATACAATACAGTTATTCTCCAGTTAAAATATGTTGCTCTGTTGTTCATTTTCAAAATAGAAATCACTAAAGGTGCACCGTGTACCTGGTAACGGTCTGACTTGTAACTAGATGAGGGTTTAAAGTGTGAGCATAGGGCGCTCAGTTAGTAGCTCAGTTGGTAGAGAATTCGCCCACTGATCTGAATTCCAGAACATCACAGGTTGAGTGGTCAGATCCACTGATGTGATTCCAGCTCCCACAGATGAATGTTGTCATTGTGTCCTTGGGCTAGACACTTAACCCACCTTGCCCACAGTGTCTGTGTACACTGGTGTGTGTGTGAATGGGTGAGTGGTTCCTCGTTGTAAAGCGCTTTGAGTGCCTTGAAGGTGGAAAAGTGCTATAGAAAAATGTGACCATTTACCATACGGTGATGCAAAAGTGTGTGGAATTCAATTGGGTATGCATACCAGGATTTTGTGTACTGTATGTATGTGACGTAATCGCATACGCAACGTGAGCAGATCTGATCTTTGCGTCTTGGGCAGCGTAGACTGAAATGCTACAACGGAGTGTATTCAACTTTTCCACTCTGGAGGGTGGTTTCAGATTCTTGCATTTTTAAGCCCCAAAAACGTCATCACGAAAGGCACTTGTGATAAAATATTCTGTTGTTTTTACCCGTAAGCATGGCAGGTGTATTGTAAGAATGTCTGTTTTTCATGGTATTTTTAAGCAATAAAAACACCTCTAGTGGAATAAATGCAAAATAGACTAGTTTAACACTGTATTGCGGAACATTCCAGACAAAACAATCACATTCCCATGGAGACAAGCAGGTGGTGGAACCTCTACCAGAAAAGTTTTACAGTGCACCTTTAAGTTATTATTTTTCTTATGAAATTTTGCAAAATATATTACTGGTGAAAGCCTTGGTTTGAGACAAAGTGTTCATATAATTATTCTGTCATCTCTCTGATTTTCTCGTTCTTCCTCTTTAAGCCATGTTAGAATGTTGTTGCCTTGTCAAAAACATACCCAGAGTTGTGTTTTGCTTCATTCACACATGTTTGAGTAATCCATTATTGTTAGTCTGTCTACATCAAAGCTCAGAATGCTCTGTTCCACGTTGTGATGTGATTGTTCAGTAGAGTTTGAGAAAAGAACTCAGCCTAAATATAAAGGATTTGCAAGTTAAACTTGTGTGAATGAAACAGAACAAAGCTCCAGGTATGAAAGAACATTACAACACAGATCAGACAATGGTGTAGTATGCGCCCTTTAATGCATTTACAACATGTTACTTAGTAGAAAAAGAAGAAGGTTCTTGGTAGTATCTGTATTTAGTTAAGTCCAATTCAGACCTGAACTGTCACCTGAGTCGTATTTTTCACTTGGGCACTTGAACAATATGGTTCGCAATGGGGGGGCCAAAACAAAACAGCCACGTTCTTAGAAATAAGTTCTGGAGTCTTGCTAGTCTTCGTTGCCCTTTTTGCAAATATCTCCAACTGCACTTTACTGAAGAAAAAACAAAACAACTTTGTACACTAGCACTGACAACTGACTCTTGGGAGTTTTGTTTTTCCACTATTGCTTTATCTCCATCCCACAAGAAGCCTTTTTTGATGATAACTTTACAAGCAGCTACTTTTCAAATAGTTGTATTAAAAACACATTTGTACACAACAAACTTTGTCCAGACAATCTTCAGGATCCCTACTCACTTCCTCATATCCTGAAAGTGATAGAGTTAAATAATGTTTTGTTGAATCGATAATATTTTTTGAGAAATTTGGAATCCTGTGCAGGGGTAGTTTTAGGAGGAGAAATATGCACCAGACATGCACCATAACATTACTATTGTCTTCTGAGCTGGACTCAACTGTGATTAGAGGCCAATGTGTTGTAACGAGAGCTAAAAGAGTCATAGAGGCAGGTGCACACCTGACAGAGGAGCACCGTCCAAACTGCAAATGGAACGTCTGACACTTTCTCTCCTTTTTAATCACACTCTTGTCAAGGAATCCTCGCTTTTCTTTAGAGCTAAAATACTATTGAGGTTTCAATCAAGAGGAAAAACAGTGTAAGTGAATGCCAAAGCAAAACACACCCGTCCAAATGTAGTTTTACTTCAGAGGGAGTTTTTGCACATCCACCAACAACTCGAGAATGGAAGTATTTCTTGCTCCATCTGACCAGTCATGCATGATCCCAATAAATGCAGTTCTGCTACAACAACTCAACTGTGTCAAGAAGCAACAGCACATCTAACCTTGTGTTAGAAATTACACAAGCTCAACACAAAAAAATATCTTCTCATTATCATTCATTTCAAAGAAAGCCTAAATTATGTGCACCAGTGGAAACCTCCCTCTGGCTACATTTCAAAGTTTAAATTAGAGAGATATTCTCAAATCATTAGCTCTCAGCTACGTCTTAAGCAAATAAAAATAAAATAAGCATAATGTCTGAGGCTACACAAGATAATTAAATAAATAAACAACTGTCCTCTGCGTTTACCAGATTTAGGGCTCAGCAATTAACATTTGCAGTAAATCTTTCAGTAACTGACTAAAACAATAATGTGCATTTAACAACAGAAACTAGTGTAACCAATTATGTGCACTTCCAATGCTAATCATGGCCTGGATTCAAGAACATTTGTATGTACAATTATTCACAGCAGTACTGTTTAAGACAGACCATTCTTAGAGACCAGTAGAATACTATACAGTCAGCCATCACGTATTCTGTACATCATTCCATTCCATTTTCTTCCGCTTATCCGGGGCCGGGTCGCGGAGGCAGCAGTCTAAGCAGGGACTCCCAGACCTCCCTTTCCACGCACACTTCCTCCAGCTCTTCTGGGGGGACCCCAAGGCGTTCCCAGGCCAGCCGAGAAACATAGTCCCTCCAGCGTGTCCTGGGTCTTCCCCGGGGCCTCCTCCCAGTGGGACATGCCCAGAACACCTCCCGAGGGAGGCGTCCAGGAGGCATCCGGAACAGATGCCCGAGCCACCTCAACTGGCTCCTCTCAACGTGAAGGAGCAGCGGCTCTACTCCGAGCTCCTCCCGTGTGACTGAGCTCCTCACCCTATCTCTAAGGGAGCGCCCAGCCACCCTGCGGAGGAAACTCATTTCGGCCGCTTGTATCCGCGATCTCGTCCTTTCGGTCACTACCCAGAGCTCATGACCATAGGTGAGAGTAGGAACGAAGACTGACCGGTAAATCGAGAGCTTTGCCCTTCGGCTCAGCTCCCTCTTCACCACAATGGTCCGATACAGCGACCGCATCACTGCTGAAGCTGCACCGATCCGCCTGTCAATCTCACGCTCCATCCTCCCCTCACTCGTGAACAAGACCCCGAGATACTTGAACTCCTCCACTTGAGGCAGGGCCTCTCCACCCACTCGGAAAGGGCAAGCCACCTTTTTCCGGTCGAGAACCATGGCCTCGGATTTGGAGGAGCTGATCTTCATCCCAGCCGCTTCACACTCGGCTGCAAACCGCCCCAGTGCACATTGCAGGTCCTGGTTCGATGAAGCCAACAGGACAACATCATCTGCAAACAGCAGAGATGAGATCCTGTGGTCCCCAAACCGGCCCCCCTCCGGCCCCTGACTGCGCCTAGAAATTCTGTCCATAAAAACAATGAACAGAACCGGTGACAAAGGGCAGCCCTGGCGGAGTCCAACATGCACTGGTAACAGGTCTGACTTACTGCCGGCAATGCGAACACAGCTCCTGCTCCGGTCATACAGGGACCGAACAGCCCTTAGCAAAGGGCCCCAGACCCCATACTCCCAGAGCACCCCCCACAGGACACCACGAGGGACACGGTCGAATGCCTTCTCCAAGTCCACTAAGCACATGTGGACTGGTTGGGCAAACTCCCATGAACCCTCGAGCACCCGATGGAGAGTGTAGAGCTGGTCCAGTGTTCCGCGGCCAGGACGAAAACCACACTGCTCCTCCTGAATCCGAGGTTCGACTATCGGGCGGATTCTCCTCTCCAGTACCCTGGCATAGACCTTACCGGGAAGGCTGAGAAGTGTGATTCCCCTGTAATTGGAACACACCCTCCGGTCCCCCTTCTTATACCACCACCCCGGTTTGCCAGTCCAGAGGTACTGTCCCCGACCGCCACGCGATGTTGAAGAGGCGTGTCAGCCAAGACAGCCCCACAACATCCAGAGACTTAAGATACTCAGGACGGATCTCGTCCACCCCCGGAGCCTTGCCACCAAGGAGCTTGCCAACCACCTCAGTGACTTCAGCCAGGGTGATGGACGAGTGTTGCCAGTGTTCCATGGCAAGAAAATGTATTTGATCTCACAAATATTCAGTTATGCATTTTTTCATTGCTCTAATATCTTTAAAAATGCATTCTTACTGTGAAAAATCAATTGTGTGTAAAAATCAGCAACTTTTGGCATCATCTGGTGGCTTGTCTCCATGGAGATAGATAAGTTTAAGATAATGCTAAGAAACATTCCAAGCACACGAGCAGATCACAGACTCTCCCCCAAGAGAACATTATATATTGCCCCTTTAAGTCCAAAATGCAACAAATGTGTTGTTCTTACCATCAAACTTCTTGTGCCTGGACACAAAGGTGGTCCTCATGTCGTGGCTGGTCTGCTCCACCAGGCTCTCAAACTCCACTTTGCTCTGCAGGTGCAGCGTGTCCTCCATGTCTGAGGTGCAGCAGGTGTATCCCTGAGGACAGACTCGCAGGTGCTCTCCTGCACACACACAGACAGGGGTAGAAGATGTGGGAGAAGATGGGGAAGAAGGGGAGGAAGGGGAAGAAGGGGAGAGGGAGGAGAAGAGGTTTTAACACATTTCATAGTGTCTTTGTAAAGCTGCAGAAACCTCTTTGATCAAATCTCTCCTGTGATTCTGGGACTCTCATCACTGAAGCCATCAAAGGGGAACGGACTCTAACAAATTGAGAGAGATATATTTGTCAGTTTAGTACGATTATATAGTGAACAAACTCGATCCAATAGTGTGAAGTCCACTGTAATTAAATGCAGCAAATTTTGAAGTAAAAGTACAAATAAAGTTATCTTATACCCCAAACTACGTTCAAATAAATGAGAGGGAAGGCACAACTTAATTATTTTGATATTTAAAAATAATTTTGTTTGTAATTATAATTGTATAATTGTAAATAATTTTTGAGGGTTAGTATTCATCGTGGTGTTTTTCTTTATACTAATGTGGGTCTTTTTGTTATTTTTTGTACTACAATAAGATTGGTGCTGCATCCAGTTGAATGAATAACTTTTATGACTCATAAATCTAAAAAAACTAAACAAAAAACTACAACTTAAGTGTTGTATAATTCTGCTATTTATGTATTTACTGCTGTTTTAACCATATTTTACATTTAGAATATTTAGAAAATGTAGAATTTGTTTGTGTATAATTCTACTCTTGTTTATCGTCTATATTTTCTTCAGCAATATATCGTACTTCAAAATGTGTTATTGTATAGTCGCAAGCCTAAGCATAATCATGATACTGCCTTAAAATTATACAAAAAAAAAAAAAATAGTGCTGATGTTGTCCTGTTCCCTTGAGAACAATGGTGCAAATGTCTGTTGTATTTGAACAGAGTGAAAGACTGAAGAGAGAAGAACCCACTCCCAAACTCTCCATCGATCGAATCAAATATAAACTGGAGACTGAGCTTGAGCTGAAAGTTTGAAAGCAACACTATTTAACTTTAGCTCTCTCCTGTATTCTGCTCCATTTGATCCAAAAACATCACCATTACAAATAAGTCTAACTGAAAATGCACTGATAAACTACTCAGACATGCATTTGAATGGGGATGAAAAACCTAGTGACAAAATAGCTGATCCTTTTGCACTTGTCCCAGAATCACCCTCATTATAATACATATAAATATAGAAACACATTTTACATTATCTCTTGCCCTCCATCAGACAGCAGCAGACATCATTATAACACGTCTTTTTAAATGCTTGTCCGAAACCCACATAAATGAACTGCTATTTCTGAGAGAATTCTTTGTGCAGTCATTAACAAAAAAAAGTCAAAAGTGTCTGGATTGGGTAGGGGCTCAGAATAAGAGACTTCCTGATCCTGTGGCACACTTACTGAAATAAAAATAAGTCTTAAGTTTCTTTGGTTGCCCTTTTCTGCAAATATCTCCAACTGAAGAAAAATGTAATAAGTTTCCACACTAGAGAAAATCTGACAATTTCGGAGTTACATTTTTTCACTATTACTTGTGTCAGTGTCTGTGTCCATAAAATATTCAATGGTGAATATAAAGAGTATTACATTTTTACCTTATTTAACATCTTTGTAAGTCTCTAATGTTTAAATCTGTATTGTGGGGCATTTGAAGCTCCTCCTGCTGTTTCTGGCCTTGCAACGTGGCCGATCTTAACATTTCATTATTATTACCTTCATTATTACCCTCATACAGCATCATTACCATTATTATTGTGGAGAAGCTGGGCAGAAGTGGTCGATGTAGGAGGCAGACTTAAAACAAAAGTGTCTTTTACCGAACTGAATTTATTTTTAAGGAGACGACTTTGGTTGTGAATGTAAATTAACTTAATTAAAACATAAAACAACACAAAAGTTCAGACAACAAAACAGAAAATAAGTAACTTCAATTTGACACAGCAACCACATAAACACAAATATACTGCAGTGTCTCCCAAATGAACTCAACAGGCCTACTCAGCGGGTAAGCCATCCCACCAGCCAATGACACCTACAGACGCAGCGGGGTCTGGAATGACTTATATACCATTAGTTGTGTTACCATTATCTGACTCATAACAGTTACGAGGCTGGCAATTTAGGAGAAAGAAAGTTCAAAGTAAAGGATACACCAAACCAGCTTTTTTTTTTTCTGTTCAGAATACCAATGTCGAAACTTTGGTTTAAAGTATCTGCTGATACCCGGTATGAACCATTACCAGGGCAGAGACTGAAAATATTATTTCTGGTATATGGTAAAAAATGATCCAAATGTGTTTTGTAATTTTTATTTATCATTTAATGTAATTACAGCTTTGAAAATATACATGTTTAATATTATTTTAGGCAAACATTGGCCAATTGGGATGTAAGAATAACCGAAATATCGTGATATCGTATCATCAAAAGTCTCACAATAATATCGTGGGCTGTCACAATATATCAAATCGCAAGTTACTTTGCTTAAATGTATTGTTTTATAGTAGCAAAAGCTAATTAAAGTAGAGAACTCCATATCCTATGATTCATTTCAGTGCAGTCAACATGAAAAAATGCTTTTTACTTGACCTTTTGGGATTACAACAGTAATGATTCACACCAAAATCTTGTCAAGGCATTGTAAAAGCAAAAAAGTATCCTATCTACTGTTATATTAGTCTCTTCAAAATATTGCAATAAATATCGTACTGTGAAATGCATTTCGTGAAAATATCGTACCGAGATATTGTTTGGATATCGTTTCGTCCCCACTGACCTTTAAAGATGTTCGTGTAATCCCTCAGTGGTCCAGGTAGGATTCATTTCTCTTTTGCTATTGGCCAGTGAATCGTCTTATTACACCACTTTATAGATATCTTGGAAGCCGATATCTGATCCACCAAAGTTTTCAGCACTGTTATCTGATACCAATGTTGTATCATTGCATCCCTAGTTAAAAGTATGTGGATTGAATGTGGGCTCTGGATAAGTGTCTGTCTTGCATACTGCCCAGCTCTGTGTGGATAATGAAACAACAGAATACAGTGGTGTACTTGCTGCTGGTATTCTCAATGCTCGGTCCTAATCAGCCCTCAGAGATACAGGGCTACAGTAATGAGGCCCACCGTCAACAGAGTGCTCTCCAGAGATCACCTCACAGCCACGAGACCCTCTTTAGAAAACATCCAAATAAGGCTGCGCGCATTTACTGATCCTCTTTTAATCTTCTCTTCAGTATCGATTGGTGATTTTCAGTGGGGCTCAGGTGCTCCTCAAAGCAGTGCATTGGTAATGTGAGTAATAGATAATGATACAGCCGGACCTGGTTTCAGATTCACTAAAATATAATCAAAAACTTTTCTACAAATTTAGACATGAGTGGTAAGACATTCAGTATTTGAGTGTTTTAGTGCAGCGGTTGCGCCTTCACACTCTGCAGGCATGGGTTATTAGTTTTTGTTTCCTAGTTCTGCACATTTCATTTCTATACTTTATAGGGCCCATTTGTGTAATATAAGACCTTTAAGACTACTTTAAACGGAGCACCAGTGACCCACAACCACCCACTGTCAGTTATGGGCATACATAGAAAGAATTGACTGGTAGACAGGAGGCTATTGCCAAAGGGAAGTGTGCTTTGTAATTTAATGGACTTTTATTATTCGGGCATTGGTGTAACATGTTGTTTGCAAGATGAAAAAGTGGCATCTTCTATAAAAAGGGGACTTAATATGAGAGCAAGATAATAGTACCTTAGAGCATTTACTGAAGTAGTAAATTATCAGCATATAGGTTACAAATAGCGTTACTTTTATTTTTTATTTGTAAAGTTCACAATGTAATTCCAGTGTTAGTGTTTGTAGACATTGATGTTGTGCATGTTTTTGCAGCATTATACCAAAATGTATGCAGTTTTTGCTCATCTGTTTTGATTATGTCTCTAACACCTCATTTCACCGACCAATGATGTAAAATTATAATGGTACAATATTGAAGAAGGTTTCTAATCATAGTGATGGATAACTTGTGTTATTTTCACACAGCATTAAGCAACTGAGGCATTTTCAATTTAGACTTCCACTCATGCAACAAATTGATTGAAGGTGCTAAGTACCACGGCTGGAATATCACAGTACCATAAGCGACTAAAAGTGCATGTTTAGTGCATGGGTGACTCTGCCAGTTCTTAATGTTACCATCTTACAAAATATATATAAAAATAGCATGAAGTTAAAACAAACATTATGCAGCTTTTCAGGTAGAAACTTTATCAGTTTGTCTGGAATGTTCTACAATATGGCATTAAACTTATCTCCATGGACAAAAACATGTGACACCACCAAGCCAAGAAAAATATCTGGAGAGATCCGGCCTGTTCCATGGCTGAACGCTGACGCCACCTGCTTATACAACTACAGAACCTTCCAAGTAAAGCAATAAAAATATGGACACATCGAATGTTAATAACTTTTCAAAATAAACCATGAAAAGCTCAGTTTAAGTACATAAAAGAAAAAAAAAAAGTCTGATAACACATGTTAACCAAAATGAATTAAAGACACAAAGTGCAGAGCAGAGCAGCTCCCAGATGACGTGAAGGAACTTGGTCACATTCCCAGATTTGATCAGCATCTGGTCCATGAGGGTTTGCCAAACGTATCATCATATTATTGCTGCTTGACTTTACAAGTGACAATGTGCTGTTATATTTCAGAATCAAACCTCCTGTAAGTGCTGCAGTGTCTATCAAACAGACTAAGAAAAGATGTGTCAGCCACCCTGTCTAATGTGAACAAGAACTGCTCAAGACTCCAAACTATTTCCTTCGAGCAAATCATCTGACTCCCTGTGTGTGGTGATTTTAACGTGGCACAGATGTTTTTACCACAGCACAAAGAGCTGGATAGACTCAAAACAGAGTCAGAAAACACAGTGTTTGCATATGGCTTTAAAAAGATACTTTCCTCATGATTTATTTGAAATTCTAATTCCCAGTGCTGCTGATGTTCCAACA